ACGGTTATATTACTAACCTCCTTCCAAGAGTGATAAAGTAACCATGTCAAATGCTATATGCCAACAACTGCTGCCTAATGAAAATCAACAAAGAAACAACCAAGCTGAGTGAAAGACTAAGATCTTTTATAAACTCAGTCCAAACAAAACATGTCATATCATACAATATGATAGATAAATCCGCCCATTTATGTCACGCCTGGTTTTACAAAATATAGCCATGCCAGGAAGATGGAAAACCCAGAACATTTTCCAACATTCCTCCTTCCAATAATAAACACATATAAGTACACACAATCATCTCTCAATCTATTTGCTTGCTTCTTTTATTCCAAAACAAACATGGATTTGCTAATGCATTCTTGATGGCAATACTCATGAGTGTAAAGAAAGTGGGGTGGGGTGGAAATATCCTTTGGACAGTCCATTAATGGTGTCAAAGGGGGGGACGGATATGGAGCAGTAACATGTTTCTGATAGGCCACTTCAAAGGCCAAGTACCTAAAGTAAAAAAAAAGGCCAGTGTTTGGAGGGGGGGTATTAAGAGTTGAGAAGCCACTTATGAGACTTCTGTTGCCTGTTCTAATACTTACTCAGTGAACAGGAGCTTAACTCTGATATTACGCACTACATGTAAATAGCCACAATTATCTTAAAAGAAACTCTTCATTCCCTTGAGTAAATTAACTCAACAGCAGAGCAGAAATACAGCAAAATGGAAACTGCATGGAATGTGATACTATTTATAAATTTGGTCCCACAGGCAGAAATATGGATAAAGGCAAAAAAAAACCCACAATATTTAGCTACACATAATTGGATATTTAGTATGATAATTTGGGGGTGTTTAAAGCACTCTGAGTACACTAATCACACAAAGGTTATAGGCTTGATCACAATGCTTGCCCAAATATGAATTGTGTTAGCCTTTGTTATGAATCAGGATTCAAACATTTTTTTAAAAAATCCTATTCATTAGCCGTATTTCCAATGTTTGAATTATGGTATCACACAAAGCAACTTCAAAACAAACCAAGACAGAAAATGGTTTAGGTTATCACCATATCACGTGCCCAATCAAGGCAACCCACAACAGCCAAGTTACATGTAAGTTACAGGGGTCCAGGATTTTCAAATGTAATTTTTATAGTGACTGCTTTTTAGGAGGTTATCGGAATGGATGATTAAAAGTAAAGGATTTCATAGGATGAAGCATATATAAATGACTCTCGCTCCTCCCCAGTACCATCATTTGAGCTCAAGGAAGTTCTTAATGCCTGTTGTGGTTCGCTGGCAGTCTGTGCAGACGAGAGCGGAATCGGACAGTGAGGAAGAATGGGGACCAGTCAGGGACTCTAGAGAGGACTCGGAAGAGAGTCCGGCCCCCAATGCAGAGATGGGGCCAGGACCATCTGGGAGTGGGGTACTGCCTCCAGAGGCTTCGGAGTCTGGCAGCAGCGAGGCAGAGGACCCAGGGGAGCCTGTTCCCAGTTCACATGTGCGCAGACCTGCTAGAAGGCGAGAGCAGCTGAAACAAAAAGGGCAACTTGGGAGTAAGGCTGGGAGGTGATAATGAAACCTTTGCAGGAAGCAAAGTCATTTGTTCGGTTCAGATTCATTCTTGAAGCTCTTTGTACTTCGGTTGGTTTTTTTTCTAGTTCATTTGACATTTCTGTTATTGGCAGCACTTCACAGAGGAAAGAAAGGTGGGTGCTTATCTTGAGGGACTGTTTGAGATTCATTACCAGCTGGGGATGAAAATAATTCCAGTGTTGCAATAAAACAAGACTTGTTTTTAAAATAAGTGTGTGCGTAATTACGGTCTCAGAAGCCTTGGCCAGAACAGTGCCTCCTTTTCAAAATGATATGGCATAACTCAGTTCCATAAAATGCAATGAGCTTAGTCTGCCTAGGTAACTTCGAAAGCCACTCTTGGAACACAAACTATGTAATAAATCCCAAATAATTGCCTACAAGACTCTCTTCTGATGAGCAATCCCTTGCACAAAAACACCTGGACTGTCGTTATGTTACATGTCATGAATTGCATACAGTCACATTTTAAGAGCTGACAGTGAGATATTCCAACAATTGGGTTTCAAAACCCTTTCAATTTCTTCTCCAATTTTTGCTACAACACTGTGGTTATTGGAGGGCCTCCGTCAACTTAAACATGCAGTATTACAGGTCATCTTTCAACTTATAACCAGTCACTGAGCAACTGTTCAAAATGATGATGGACTTCCCCAGAGCTACTTAAGACAGTGTTTCAGTTCCATCATCATACCCTTGCTGTCATGTGCTCACATTCTGGTGTTTTGCAACCAGCTCGCATTTACAGCCATTTGCAGCAACCTGCAGTAAAAGAGCTGCGAATTTTTGACCAGCATTTGCTTCCAGATTCACTTAAGGAGTACAGCGTTCACTTAATGACTGCAACAACAACAACAACAAAAGGTTGTAAAATTGGATCACTTGGGTGTAATCCCTTAATGATTGCCATTACGTGACTTTCAAATCACTTTTTATAACTTAGGCCAGGGGTCTGCAACCTTAAACACTCAAAGAGCCATTTGGACCCATTTCCCACAGAAAAGAAAACCCAGGGAGCCAATAATTTAACAACCAATGTGACTGGGTGGGCGTGGCCAACTCAACGTCACTCACTCCCACCCAGTCACCTCCTGCTCTGGAATATGGAGCAAGTATCCATCCCCCGCTATCACCCTTACCTTCTCAGGCCAGGAGAGGAGTGTTGGGAAGGGGAGGGGCCAGCCAGTAGTGGGATCAGCCGACAGGGAGCCGCAGCAGAGGGATGAAAGAGCCGCATGTGGCTCCAGAGCTGCAGGTTGCGAACCCCTGATTTAGGCAGTTGTCCCACCACCAATACTCATAAAAATATAGTTTCAAACACTAGGAGAAACTATCTTTCAATGAAGCTATCTAGAAGCCTTAGCCACCTAGAAGCCTCATCTCCTGAATTTTCCTAGCAACAGAGTCACTGCTGAGAATCCAAGAAGATGCAAAGATACATCTCAACGTTGCAAAAGGTTGGGAAAATGGTGAGGGAAAGATGTAGATTAGTACAACCTTTAAAAGTGAATTGCTTTAGAAAGATCCAATGCATGTTCCATTTTGCAAAGGTCTGATTGGTATATAAGTTTGAAATTAAACGAAATAGGGGATTACTTTGGCACCATTTACATTACAGATATCTCTTGACTTACAACTGCAACCGGGATCGAATTGTGGTCATTAAGTCATGACCTGTTGTAAATCAAGGCACCCATGTGACCAGACCCAACGTTACAATTGGTTTTATGATGGTTGTTAAGCAAATCACATGGTCATAAATGTGAACCCGTTCTCCCAAAGTGGTGGATTTTTTTGCTTATAAGCCAGCAAAAAGAAAAAAAATGCCAGAAAAAAGGGGGAAAATCACATGACTGTGAGATGCTGCAACCACTCATGAGAGTAGGTTGCCAAATGCCCTGTGTGAGGTCATGTGACCCCAGGGATAGATTGGGAGCTCACATACAACACCTTTTCCAAGATTGATGTAAATTGAAGAGTACTCATATTGATCAATCTTTTGGCCATTCACATCATCTGGCATTGGAAAATCATGCCCAGCTGTGTTCTCTAAAACCAGGAATTAGTACTGAAGCCCTTGCTAATCAGCCAACTGCAGAATTCCATGCCCAGATCATATTAAACCAAGCCCCTATTAAATCCAAGCACAGTAGCGATTGAAAAATCAGAATACTGATGTTGAGGGGAGGCACACTGTGTTACACCGCACTGCTTGTTTCCAGAATGTATTTTTATTTCTCCACTCAACTCTGATTGCGGCCAACGTGACTTGTTTGTTAGCCTCCAGCAATAACACTACCTAGCCAGTCCTTGCATCCCTCTGTTTATTGTGCTATGAAGATACGCAACAATGACAATGTATTGCAGGCAGAGAACATGTGAGGCTACAGGGAGAGGAATCTTCAAAAGCAAAACATTTTCTACTTTTGCAAGAAAACATCAAAGGCCACTGTCCAGAAAAAGTTCTTTTAAAAGGACTTGAACACACTTTTTCTTTTACACCCTCAAATAGCTAAAGCATAAGGAAGGAGCACAACGGTTTGAAAATATGCTATAGCCTGTTCTTTAAAAAGTGAGATAATTGTTTAGCATTTTCATGTGAAAGATCACATTTAAATTTTACTGAGACTGTATTATTTATACTGAAATTAATTCTCTCCCACAGGCACACAAATAAATCTCAGTGCCTTGCTTCTGGGCATATTTTAAGAACAATGAGATTTAAAATACCATAGTCAGACATCCTTTACTAGACTAGGAAAAAAAGTAATAATGATTGTTAGCAGGGATGGGAAATAAAAGAAAGGAGTAAGCTACGGAGAAAGAAAAGACAGCAGCAATCTAAGCGTTGGAGCAGCTTTTGAAGAAGAACATATGAATAGCTGGATAAAAACAGAAGTACTTAAGAAGTTTACAAATATTACAATATGTTTAATTCTACTTTTAATAAACCATTCACAATAAAAACATTCCATTTTACCCCTATTCTAATTTCCAGTTCTACAAGCTGAGAGAAAGAGGATGGATGGATGGATGGATGGATGGATGTAGGTAGATAGATAGATAGATAGATAGATAGATAGATAGATAGATAGATAG